TTCGCTGATGATGTAAAGCTATTCAACACCACCGACAATACTGCTACCCTTCAAAAAGACCTCAACTATGTATCAGAATGGTCAAACAAATGGCAACTTCAAATCTCAACAAATAAATGCTCTGTCTTACATATTGGCAAAAAAAATATCAGAAAATAAAATACAGGCTGAATAGTCAAGACCTTGTTGATGATCCAAACTCTGTCAAGGATCTTGGAATACTCATTTCTAATGATCTAAGTGCTAGAGCCCACTGTAACTACCTAGCCAAAAAGGCGTTAAGCGTTGTTAACCTAATCTTACATAGCTTTTTCTCCGGTAATATTACACTACTAACTAGAGCATACAAAACATTTGCTAGAACAATACTTAAATACAGCTCATCAGTCTGGAACCCACATTACGTATCTGATATTAACACAGTTGAGAAAGTCCAGAAATATTTCACAAGAAGAGTTCTTCACTCCTCTACTCGTTGCAGAATACCTTATGCCACCAGACTTGAAATTCTAGACCTAGAAAAGCTAGAACTATACCACCTTCGGTCCGATCTAAGTATAGTATATAAAATCATACACTGCAATGTCCTACCTGGCAATGAATACTTCAGCTTCAACCATAACAATACAAGAGCAAACAATAGATACAAACTCAAGGTTAATTGCACCAAACTGGATTGCAGGAAATATGACTTCAGCAACAGAGTGGTCAATGTCTGGAATAATCTACCTGACTCTGTGGTTTCTTCCCCAAACCCCCAAAACTTTAACCTTAGACTGTTTACTATTGACCTCACCCCCTTCCTAAGAGGCCTGTAGGGTCGTACATAAGTGCACCAACATGCCTACCGTCCCTGTCCTATTATTTCTTTTATTTTTCTTATATGTATCCATGTATTCATAACTATGTTTTTACTTATACCTATTATCTTGTAAACAATTGACAAAAATAAATAAAATAAATAAAGTATGGCAGAGTTTGGACTTTTTTTTTTTGAAGAGCAAGAATCTCCTACCCTCATACTTGATTTCCCAGCAATAAGTAGCACTTCTGTCCCTCATATATTCCTTGGATAGGGTTTTTTTTTTTTCATTTTTAAAAGAGAACTTTTCTTGTTTCACTGATGCCTGTCTGGCAATGCTGAAATTCCTTCGCCTCTATTTGTTGCTCTCCTCATGGCCAGTTTCTATGGAGATACAGATTCCATGCCTAACAAACCCCATACTTCAAGATCTCCTTGGAAAATTACCTCCCCCAGCTCGCTTCCAAAGAAAACACAGGGATAGAAGGGAATCAATGTACATCTTCACTTTCTCCCAATGTACATATACATCATACATTTTTTTTCCTATGGAGTCTTAAATAATATATTAATTGTTATTGGATTTTAGGGCAAAAAGTACCAACAGCGCATTTTCCCTTTTCTGGCATAGACTCCAAAATTACCACATCACACTAATATTTCAACATTAGCAAGTAGTCCAGATGGTCCACATTAACATTCCAATGTTGTCTCAGTTGCCAACAACAGCTTGCTCCTTAAATTGTCTCCCAAAATATAAAAACATATCTAAACATTTAGTAATGTGGAGGGTACATATGTGCATAAAGATAACAAAAATGAGTGCAGATGAGGGAAAGAAGACAACTGAAGCCTTTTCCACTCTTTCCCCGGCAATTCAGTTTTTCACTTTACAATGAGAAGAAATTATGGGAGCATTAGAGACATTGGAATACATCCTGTTTGGCATCATACACTCTGTGGCTCACTGTGGTGGTGATGGTGGCTGTAAGAGTATATATTAAAAATGTGTACATACACTCACGTACATAATCAGCAGATTCACCCAAGGTACAAAGACATTCCAGTTGCTTCGCTAAAGCAAGCAATCATCTATATTGGCAGCAGCAATATAATTAGTGATAATTTCAATCCCATGGCAAGGCATGATTTCATATGGGCACAAGAAGGCAATGCCAAATCACTCCTGATTTAACAGGAAAATCATGCAAATAGGAAAAAAAAGTGACTGATGATGTAGGGACAGATGATGAGCCCCTAAGGTTGGATGGCACTCAACGTTTTACTCAAGGAGAGCTGAAGATCTTTTGGGATATTAATGATCTTTATGACATGGAATAGATTAAACATAATGAATATATTGTTGCTGATGTTGTCATGCAGGAAAATAAAATCTGAAGCTGCAAAAGCAGAATGGAAACATGAAATATAAGAAGCCTGATCCTGGGAAACTCAATACAATGGAAAATTGAATGAACTTATTTACTCATCAGCATCTTAGGGATCAGTTAAGTGAAGTGAATTAGAATTGGGCATTTGCAGTCAGATGATTATAGTGGTTCCCTCATATCCTATGGAAGTGATTGTTCATAAAGACACTTGTTTTCACAATGTATTTACATTATCTTAATCATAGAAGGCACTAAGATTCCTGAATTGCACAATGAATGAAATTGCAACTGTAGACTAATCATACCGTCTGGATCCATCCAATTTTCTAGGCTAAAGTGTTAGTTATGATTCAGTGTGACATACACATCTGGCCCTGTATTCAGTTTCCTTAACGTAAAATATGTATCTATTGTGCTCTTTGAAATGATGGCTTCTCAGATGCATTGTGTTTCTATACTTTAACCAGAAGGTCAAACTCGTGTTGACACTATTAATAATTTCCATTGCTATGTGACTTGAAAATGACTATTTTTTTCTTCCTGTTGTAATTAATGGTTTAAACCACGGATACTATGAAACCTGGGAAGTGAAAGGTTTACTGGGGAGATGGAGCGCAAGTAGGATATGAAACACTTTAAATCAACTTTCTCAGTCTGGGGACCTCTGGTGTCTTGGATCCTCTAGAGTACTCTGGCATAATGACTATTATGGAGTTGCAAGCCCCTTGCATTTATAGGACACCAGACTGAAGGACATCTATTTTAATTGTTCAGATAATGAATGAGGCATTTTTTTTAGTATCTATTGTACTAGCTCGCAGAAAATTTTATTGTTATCACTTTTTAGTAGTATTTTTACTTCTGCCTTCAATGGTACACTTTGGACAAAATGACAGAATATTATTTGACTTTGAACAATTTGTCTTTTTCAGTCGAGATTGGATGCATATTGTAATTTCATAGAAAACAAGATGTTGAAATATATTTCAGAGATTTATTTCACTAAGGAGATATTTTTACCTAAAGCACAGTCTATTGCCTAGAACTCCAATTGAAAAAATAAAAACCAAGTGTTAAGAGAGAATATGTTGTCTTTAATATAAACAAAGAATGTATTTTCTACAATTAAGGGCAAATTCAATTTAATTTTGTGTTAAAATGCTAATATTATATATAAAACAATGTGTGATATAACTTTTTTAAAAAAATGGGTTCCCCTTCCTTGTATTAAGATATCACATAAAATTGTGTTTTTGCTCTATATGGACAAGTTATGAGGTCATGACCCATAACCTGATTTTCCCTCAGTTCAGCCTTAAAAGCTAAAATGGGCTATCAGGGGCCAAGTAAAGTTGGTGGCTGCATTCCAAACTAAGAAAACTATTTTTTGCTGATTTGATTGGCTCAGGATCTGTCTCAGTATCATGGTATCAATCATTACAATCCAGACATCCTGAATTAGCAAACATGTATCATGTTTATATCAAATAGATTACTACAGAAAATTTTTGGCACATATAATACACATAAATTTGCTTTGTTTTTTCTTTTTCTCTTTTGTACATTGTGACCCTTGTATACTTTTGTTGATCAGCAAAATTAGAAAAAATTCCCTCCCAAAATAGTAGCAGCTATAAGCTGCTGCATAAAAGTATTGTATTACTGGGGTTTGGACAAAAAAATGAAGAGAAGTAAAAGGGAGGTTTTCTCTAGTAATCAATTATACTTCTTGAAGAAATTTAGAGGTCCATTTCAGTAGACAGTTAAAGTGTTAATTCAAGCAATATGGAATTTTCTATATGGAATTTTCTATATGGAATTTTTAAAAGAATTATATCTTAGTCTCCATGCAATTTGTGTTCTCGTCCTAGTTCTGGTAGTAAGTCAAATACTACTGATTGAAGTCTTAATAGTGACACTAAATTTGTGTAGAAATGGCTTTGTTTCTGGATTTTTCATATCGTGAAGAATCTCACCAAGAACCTCTATTCTCTACAAGCTTGATGCAATGTTGTTATTTTAAGGTCCAATTTTCTAGAATAAACTTTTTAGTATATCTTTTTAAGAAATGCAGCATGCAACAAAGTACTTAAATGACCTCACTTTGACTTTTCACTATTGTTCTTGTTTACAATATTATAGTTGAGTATATACCTTATGAACATATCTGTATATTCAGAAAGTGTGTGATGATACATTTGAAATGAAATGCTCTAGAAAATCAGTAGATAGAAAAAAGGCTGAATATTCTTCTCTTGGCTTCCAGTGTATTAACCCTGTCTATAGTTGCAGCTAGAAAACCTGGAACTACACTGCCTTCGGTCCGATCTAAGTATAGTACATACAATTATATATTGCAATGTCCTACCTATCAATGAACACTTCAGTTTCAACCATAACAATACAAGAGCACACAACAGATAAAAACTCAAGGTAAACTGCACCAAATTTGATTGCAGGAAATACAACTTCAGCAACAGATTGGTCAGTGTCTGGAATACTCTACCTGACTCTGTGGTTTCTTCTCCAAACCCCAAAAACTTTAACCTTAGACTGTCTACTATTGAACTCACCTCCCTCCTAAGAGGCCTGTAGGGGGCATGCATAAGTGCACCGACGTGCCTACTGTCCCTGTCCCATTGTTTCTTTTAATTTTTCTTATATGTATCCATTTCATGTATTCATAACTATGTTATACTTATACCTGTTATGTTATAATCACTTGACAAATAAATAAATGAAAAATGAAATGTGTGGTAATGTGTATTTTGAGTATCTTCAATCCATCATTTAGATGGCATTAAAAATATGAAGTGAAAAAGCTTTTATTAGCAGAATTGCCTACATTTTGACAGAATGCATTTACTACGAATAAGAACTTATTGAAATCAAGAACTGCAAACTTATAGAATTTTTGCAATATATTACAAGTTGATTAAACAGCAATTCATACTCAAGGAAACTGTGTACTTCTGCGACCTCTGCTGGAAACTTCAAGAAAAATCTTTAGCACTTGGAGAAATGTAAGAAATCTCTTAGGATCTACAAAATACTTTTAGTGCCTTTTCAGCAACTGTTTAATTGAAACAATTAAGTATCAGCTGTCACAAAACAAGACTAACAAGGCAAAAGACTGCAAACCAAAACTGACTTATTGGTTATTATGTTAATTTATACAGATTAATTTCCAATTGTAGGAATATTCTCATGAAGATACTGCAAAGCCAGATCAGTCCATTTCATTTCTTGTTCTTTTACTGATTCTGTTGCTCCACTATTGTCTTGTTCTGGTTCTGGAAGTTCATTCTGAAAATAAAAAAACATCACTGAATAATTAAAGAAACAATAGATCTCAGTGGAAAAAAAGCTCTGTTTTCAATAGTAATAATCAATGGGTTGTTTTTTTTACAAAAATCTATAAATGAGAAAGTAAGCAATATTTTATTTTTAATTACAAACCTAAAATATCTTTAAGTGCACCATGCATAAGAGTATGCAATTGTTAATAGCTTATTGGCTCAAATGTTAGGCATTTGGAAATTAAATTTGTAATTAAAATTTTGCTTATTACATTGAGTATCCTATTGATTCTTCAGGATCTATGTTATATCACCTTGTTTTATTAAATGATGAATTCCTTCTCCCCATAGATACTGAAAATAAATCACTCAGATGATATAGCATTCAGACCTTGATTTACAACAGTTTATTTAGTAGCTATTTGAAGTTACAACGGCACTGAATGAACAGTGGTTATGATTGGTACTTGGAGTTGCAGCCATCCCAGCAACCCTGCTGTCATATGATTGTCATCTGCATACTCAGCAATTGTTTGCACTTATGACTGGTTGTCAGGTGCCCTGCAATCACATGACTGCCATTTGCAATCTTCCATACTAGCTTCCTCAAAAAATACAAGCAGAAGATGGCAGGGAAGAACACAAGTCATTGTGGTAAATCTCTCTGTCCCATACAAATCCCTCAGACGCTCTGTGCTCTTGTTGCCCACTTGTGCAACCCCTCCCTGGCCCTCCCCCACACTGACTCCTCATTTGGCAGCAGCCATTTATCTGCCTGTGGGCCTGGGACTTGCAACTTTCTCCTGCTTCTCCATTGTCTTTGGTTATAACAAACAGGTAGGAAGTTGCCTTGGACCATGGAATTCAGTTAGCCATGCCAATGAAGATTGCCATGGCTAACTGATGCAGTTATATTTCATGATGATGATACTACTTAGCAATGGAAATTCTGGTCTCAATTGCTGTAAATCGAGGACTATCAGTATATTAAAGAAACATTCATAAAATGGTAAAATTAAAAGTTCTACCTGATATATATGTCAATAGTGTACAACTTGAAGGGTTAATAAAATAGTTTCTTGCATTATACACTTAAGCTAAAAAAGATGTTATGGTTAATATATTCATGCTATAAAAATAACACAACTGATGTACATAATATACAATAGTACAAGATATGGTTCTTAATAATGCAGTTGAAACAATTTTATGAAAACATGCTGTTTTGTCTGCTTGCTGTGATTTTAATAGTTTATTCATATTACCATTATAAAACCAACATTGATTTTTTGTTCTTAAATGCACTTTTTAAATTTGTATTAAAAAAGTGCATAAAAATGTGCATCCACCCAATCTCGAATTGCTCTGCTTGCTTTATGTTTTGTAATTTTTTACTTTTATTTGTTTTAAGTAAAACAATTTTAGGACTGGTATAGGATGGCAAATGAACAGAAACCAAACCACGTCCTCATTTGCTGAAGCAGTTTTTATTGGGAAACAGGAAAGATAATTTCCATTCCTGCTTCAGTACATTCCACTTGTTGACACTTCCTTAAATCAAATGCTCTTTTCCTGGAGTCAATAAATAAATAAATGCTAATACATGTCACATATTTCTCAATTAACACTTAGATTCTCCCCTTTAAACATAAATCACTTAACAATTTTTGTATTAAAAACATTTCAAACAGCTATAAAGTAGGTAGGTGACAATATTAAAAGAACGGTATGTGGCATCTGTAAGATTACGTTTGCATGTATCTGTATTAACAGCAGCTGCATCACTGTTGCTTTAGTTTTATTATAAATATTTGTACTATTTATATCTTGCCTTTCTGCTCATAGGCAGGAACTTTATCAGGCTTTTGGAATGTTAATTCTTGACAGGGCTTAAATAAAATTATTAGCAAAAACTTCATTGAAAGCTTTTTGAAACTGAGAAAATGTTCTAAAATAAATGGGAAAAATATATTAATTATCCAGGAACTTACCAAAGGTATTGTCACATCTTCATATGGTAACTTATCTTCTCTCCATGCGTCATCAATCAAATCTAGAATTCTCCCATCTCTTTGTACCTCACTGTCCATTTTTTGCAGTTTATAATAAGGGCTATGAAAGAAAATATTTATACATATACATATACATACACATACACACTACTGCTTCTTTTATACCCAATTGCCAAAAAAAATCCATTGAAGTGAAGGGAATGTATTTTTTAAAAAGTAAATTAGTGAAATATGATGAACCAAAAATAATAATTTGTTTATAATTTTAAATGCTTCATACTTTATTGTAAGTAAAGTAAACTAAATATAGGAGGAAAGAGAAACTACGGATTAAAGTAAAAAGAAACCACATAATCTAAATCAACCTCCAATGAAATCTTGACCATACAAAAACATATTGGTCTATTTTCTCATTTTAAAATATAAAGACAATTTATAATTCCTGGGGACACATTTTGAATGAATTCTTCAACATCATGAATATGAATCCATGTCAGTGTCCTTAAAAAATTACCCTTGCCAACCTGCCATATCTGATAAAACTAGAGTTCTTCCTAAAAAGTCAAAATTCATTATTTTATTTTACAATTTTAGAAGCATAAATGAGCTTCCTGAGCCATACATTGCTTTAATAGGCTATGTATGACACCAAGATCCCTCCAATGCTAATCAGCAGTGATCGTATTATACCTATATATTTTAAAAATCTAATATAGAGAAACTGTATATTACATATCATGTTAACTCCACTTTTAGTAGACCAGTTAGTTTGCAAGAAACTTTTTGGCAACATTTCGCAAAGTGCTTTTTCTTTTCTCAAAATGTTTTTAGTATAATCTTCAAAATTGGTGTTGAACTTCTCCCTATTAAATGTAACTTATTAAATAAGACAAACAGAACCAATATAGATTTTTGGACATTTCCAATGGTTGTTTTTTTCTGTATTTCAGCATCTTTCATATATTCACTGCTTCATATACTTTTGAGACTTTGCCCTGCAATTTTTTTGTCTTAACTGCAGCTTTTAAGAGACTAGTGGGGAAAAAAGGGAGGGGGAGGGGGAAGTATGACAGAAAAAAAACATATGACAATTGTGTTTTTTATCAATACTTGTAATATTTTTCCTTTAAAAAGACTATTATGAAGGGAAAATACAGGTATACATAATGGATAGCATTAAATAATATCCATCTGGAGGTATTTCTGCTCTTTAACCTTTATAAATCCTGTCACAGCACTTTCCTATCTACAATATACTTAGGAATTCCGAATTTGCCAGCATCTTTCTGAAAATCTTAATAAGTCCAGACCACTTGCTTCATTTTATCTTAGTATTTCTTAACCTCCCATCCCTTTTAATTATCTGGATATATACACACACTATGCAAGTGTCTTGTTGCAGGGGCTGACTGTAATACCATTTAATAAAGAAATAACTTATTTTACAAGGCTGCTTGTATAACTTACAGATAAATAGTACTTATAGATAAACACAACCACGTCTCATTTTTCTTGAGGACCTTCAAAACTCTCCTGGCATACGAAACTAGCAGCACTTACGTTCTTACATGTAGTTGCCTCCTGAAAAAGGAGGTAACTACATGTAAGAAAAAATATTTGACTGGATGACTGAGAATCTCTACAGACTACATTCTTACAGTTTCCCTGCCCCTGTACGAAGCCTAACATTTATCCATCTCGACTTCATCCCCCCAAACGGGGCTATTTCGGGACCGCCTTCTGTTGCGCGCCCCACCCCAACTCTCCCTCTCTTTCTGCTTTCGCCTCGCAACGCCAGCGCCTCGACCCACACCTGCAGCACGCGATATACACCGCCGTTCCGCGATTTTGGAACGAAAGGACGTGACGTCACAGGGAGCGGTTCTAGTAGGCGTAAATCATAGAGAGAGAAAGAGAGAGAGGATCGAAGGGAAGGTGGGGGGTGCGGTCGCAATTCTTCCCCTCGGAGCGGCTCGGAGGTAACGGAAGAACTCAGGGGAAGGTGGTGTTGGTGTGCGGGTTGGTCGTCTGTACGCTTCGTCGATTCCTTTTTGGCGGGGAACCTTATGTCTCTGAAGTGCTCTGAATATTTGGCATCAGTTATTGGCCGCCGAGTTGGCTCCCTTCCTGATGCTTTGCTTTCCATTCTCGTAGTCCTCTCTTGTCGGTTCGCCCTTACTCATTTTGTAGCATCTGTGATGCGAACCCAGCCGGTGGGGTTACTTTGTCGTTCAACATGTTATGTGAATCCAGGAAAATTGGATTAAATGAATAAACCGTGATGCAGGGCAAGTATCGTGCGAATGCGGTCTTTCAATCCCCATGTCTCATTTACAGGTCTTTGCCCAACTACTTTTCTTCACAACAGATGAGACAAGAATTTATTTATGTATTTATTTTATTTTGTTTGATTTGTCAATTGCTTACAAGATAATAGGTATAAGTAAAAACATAGTTATGAATACATGGATACATATAAGAAAAATAAAAGAAACAATAGGGCAGGGAGGGTGGGCAAGAGGGTGGGCGCTTATGCACGCACCCTAGAGACCTCTTAGGAAAGGGGTGAGGTCAATAGTAGACAGTCTAAGGTTAAAGTTTTTGGGGTTTGGGGAAGAAACCACAGAGTCAGGTAGAGTTAGGTGGAGTATTAGAGTATTCTCTCTAAGCAGGGTAGGAAGGCCCAATGCAGACTTTAAAAATGATTTGAGATCCTATTTTACAGATACTTGAGCAGGTCCTATTTGAAAAGCTTGAAGTTTTGAATAAAAATCAAGATGCACTTCTTTTCATATCAGAGGAAGCCTCAGTTCACGGATTTAAGTCTCAGTGTAATACTTAAAGTAGGGTGGTTCTCTAATAATTTGTAACAAACTTGCACTCTAGTTGGTTGGCTAATCAGCACTTGGAAAAAAAGATGGGAGATATTTGTTTTGGATATGGTATATATAAATAAATAATCTTCAATTTTACTTCAAAAAGGAAGGTACGTATTTAGGCAGTTATTAGAAGCTTAATTAAACTAGCTGCAGTTCAATTAATCATTGTGAATCTTTAGAGGATATTTTTTGCCATGATGTGCTAGGTCTTTACTAACTCTTAAATTCTATTTACCCCATCACCTCATGTTCTCTATTCATTGACCTTTTTAAGTTGCTACATTAATAGTCTGATAAGAAATACCATAAATAAATATGCACCAATCACCACTGACTGAATATGTTTTTAGACACACTGGGGATACAGTCAAAAGTGTAATTTGCTGTTAAATATAGTTTAGGAAATGTCATTGGTGAATTTTTAATCTGGTGATTCTTAGGTTTGAAAAAAGAATGGAGAAAAATATGAACAATAAAATAGCAAAACTTGAAAATGTTTATTAAATCTAAGAGGCAAGCTTCTTCTTATATGTTATTTTTTTGCCTTAATAGAAATGAAAATAATTAGGACTTTAGAAGAAAGAAATCTGAAAAAAATGGAATGATGTCTTTTTTATATTAAGTATTAAATACTAGATGGCAACTTTCAGGTAAATTCTGAATTTAAGAAACTTTATTAAGGAGTAAGTACTTAGTAGTTAGTCTTAACAATTTATTGGCAAACTTAAGCAGTCCAGGCTGGTTTACATATAGCTGACTAAATATAGCCATTCTATGGTGAAGGGAGCAGATATGCAAGATCTTTCCAGTATTCAGATAAGACTTTCAATGGATTCTCTCAGTGGATTCTTTACATACTTAAAGTACAAACCAAATTATTCCTTTCAGAAAGGTACAATCCAGCAACAATCAAAATGAAGAAATAATTAACTAAGATCAGTTAAAATAATACAAAAGCAATAAAATATATACAATAACATTTACAATCACAGTACAAATATCTTAAATATCTGCAAAATCCTAACATAAATGGCTTCCCACAAATAATGAGGGTTAGGTGTTTTCTGTATTTGGCTCATGTGGTGCAATTTTTCAATGGGATATGTTAGATGCTAAATTTTGCTAGGTCAATTTGTGAACCAGTCTGCAGTCTTATAAAGGCAGTATGCTTGCCCCTGATATCTCAGGTTTCTAATCTTAGTATCAATTGGCAGTTTTTCTGTAAAAATACAATAAAACTGTTGTGTATGTGAAAATAATTCTAGTCCAGATGTTTAATCTATACATCAACATTTCTTAAAAGAAACATCTCCTGGGTAATTGTAGTTCTTCAATCTGAAAATAAACTATAATGCATGTTTTGGGGTGGGTGATGCCTTTTCCTGTTTTGAAAAAGAGACACAAAGTAAAAATAATTGCAACAAATATGTTTTTATGAATAGCTTCAAAGCTATTTAGAATCCCCAATTTTATAATACTATGACAATATAGTATGAAATAAAGCTTGCTTAGGTAAAGTTTCAGCAAATGTTGTTTGCTAGTTTATTTTTGTATTATTTTTAGTTTATAGACTATAGGTTATAGTCTTCCCAATATTTAGACTGTAAAGCTATTGAAGAGTTAACTATCAACTACTATAAATTGTGTAATTCTTCAGTGTTTTCCCTTTTTCTAATTGTAGGGCATATAGCAACTGTGTGTGTACTCTTAGTTTGATAGGAGTGGTAGAAATGATGATAGCTTACTGTACCACAATTTTCATTTTTCTCCTAGCAGCTTTAACAGAAGTGATTTCAGGATGGAGGCATTGTTGGAAAAAATGCAAACCCAAAGACATGGCAGGTGTGTATTTGCTATTTTTTGAGAATGTTATTAAAATAATATATGATATAAAAGCAAAAATATATTAGCTACCTCCTTTACCAAATTGTCAGTAAAATATCCACATTTATTAAATGCACCAATCTGGAGTGATTTTCTCCATTCCAATACAAAAATTCTGAATTGGGAAAAAGAAAAGTGCATTCATTTATAATTTGTATCCCTTTTTACTAAAGCAAACCAATTTAACAATGGTGTTGTTCAGTATTATTTTAAATAAACTTAGGAAAGTTTTGTAATTCAGAAACAGCTATATTTTTGCTTCTTTCTTAATACCTTATTTAAATGTAACTGCAAGGGTTGTTTAAAACAGTAGTACTATACTTACCTTTTAAAGTTGCTGTACAGATTAATTCAGGCTAATTACAGAGAGATATGTAAGCCATTTTAACGTGCACTTAAGTGCACTCCATATAAAGTAATTATCCTTAAGAATTAGCTATGTAGAACTAAGAATAGTTATTAGGTTATTCTAATTTTAGAACACATACATCAGTTATGTTCAGTTTCAGAAAAATATATATAATTATACTGATAGTTCTGATAATGAAAAAATAACACTGTATGGGCATCAGAATTGAGAGGTATACAGAGGTTGAGTGTACATATTCTAAATTGTTGTATACCTAGTACAATTTAGAACAGGGATGGGTAATTAATTTTCCCAACGGGCTACATGAGAAACTGAGACTGTTGTGGAGTGCCAAACCAATATAACCTGATTTGATGTCCTCAAACTCCATCACTTTAACTCCCGAGGGTGTTCCAGGTGAGGGGCAAGTACTGTGCTGGTGCAGAAAAAGTGCTTTCCTTGCCCTCTTATGGCCACTAGACAACTAAAAGAATAGAATAGAAGTAGAATAGAAATAGAAATAGAATGGAAATAGAATAGAATTCTTTATTGGCCAAGTGTGATTGAACATACAAGGAATTTGTCTTTGTGCAAATGCTGTGATGGTAACTGTGCTGAGCTGGATCCAACTTGCTTCTCCAGTTCCTTGCAGTGCACTTATTTACATTTGATTTTTAATTTCTGATTGACCTCATGCAAGCCGGACAGGGTCACCTAAAACGCAGATGTGAATTGGGGGCTGTGAAATGCCCAGGTCTTATTTAGAGTAATTAATGAAGTAGGTGCATAATTGTTTCACTATAGAAATTAAAAAAAAAAAACCCTGCTGTCTTGTAGAGCAGGAGTCTCCAGCCCCTGGACTGGCCCCAGTCAGAAATTAGGCTGTGCAAATGAGTGAAGCACAATCTGTATGTGTGGGGGATGCAGGCAGCACGCAAAATCATGCCCCCTCAGGGCCACAGAAAAACCATTCTTCACGGACTCGTCCCTGGTGCTCAAAAGGTTGGAGGCCACTATTGTAGAGAACCTGAAAAAACAAAAGTGCAGTCTTATGTTTACTGGGATATTAGATACCACATTTGGACCTTAAATGTCCTTATTCAGCCTATATAAAAATCTGAATGTCTTACATTTTGATGTCAGTGCTGTAACATTGGTAGAAGTAAAAATGAGTATCGTGTCATGGGCAAGACTGGGACACACTTAGAATTCACAGATTCTAGGACAGCACTGTTGCAAGTTAACATTTCTGATATGCTTAAGATATTTGAGCAGTGAATGTTTTATACAAATTCACTTCTACTGAATGCAATGAGAGGGTTTTTTTAAAGTCTATAATCGAAAATAAGCAGGAAAGGAAAAAATGCTATTCCTCTTTGTTGTCAGCTTGCTAATATAAAGCACTAGCTGCGTTTTGAATTTATTCAGTTGGTTCATTCATTTTAGATCTTCTATCTGAGTAGAATTACCTGTACATTGTTTTCTATTTATTAAAAGAATGTTTTTCCTTTTGTGCTTGCTATGTCTTTGCTTTGAAAGAACCAAAATCTCCAGTCAAGGTTTTGAAAAGTTTGAGACATTCATTTCCACTAACTGTAATTGTGTTTTCTTATCAAATTATCTTTTCCATTTGTCTTTAGTAGGTTTGAAGTTTCCCTCCCCCAAAGCTCAATATCATATGACTGCATTGC